ATGACCCCCGACCTTTGTTTTGTTATCATTACGTGGCTGTATGTTTAGATGAAAGCCCAGTGGCGATCTGTTCATCTGTTACACTGATTATACAGTAAGCCATCGAAAATAATATGATATAGTAGGCCTACAGTACAAGTAGCCTACTTCTGGGTCTCTGTGTTTCATTCAAGCTCGGCTCTGTGTGTGTGTGGCACGAGCGCATTTTGTGAGTGCGCGAGTGGTAACGTGGAATGTTGTTGTTAGCATCTGGTTAGCTAGCTATGCTAACGGATATAAAGAGCTGTTTCTACACCAAGGTGGAGGAGAGTCCTCTCCTGTCAGACTGAGAGGATCGTATAACCTCAGCTCAGTGAGTTAAGGACTCTCTCAGTGTTAGTTAACTTTAGTGTAGGTTATCTCAGTGGGTCTCAAACGGTTTGGTCACCATTTATGTAAACAAGTATTTGCGAGGAATACCTTTATATGATCATTATAGTTATTAAAGAATAAGAGAATAAATGAAAAACGGGTATGAAATACTATAGGACAGTAACACACGAATACCGTTTAAAAGGGGAGTGATTAGTAAAATATCCATAAAGAAAAAGTACATTTGTGTACAGTTCTGTTTCATATGGATGCTGAGAGATGTAGGCTATCCATAGATCTCTTCATTTTGCTCTCAAAGTGCACCAGATTGATGCATTTAACTTCAATATTTTAAAAATATTCAGCACTCACTGGATCGGTTCGCAACCGAGTGTGAAGCGGCTGGGATGAGGATCAGCACCTCCAAATCTGAGGCCATGGTTTTCAGCAGGAAACCGATGGACTGTCCACTCCAAGTAGGGAATGAGTCCTTACCCCCAAGTGAAGGAGTTCAAGTATCTCGGGGTCTTGTTCTCGAGTGAGGGAACAATGGAGCGTGAGATGGGCCGGAGAATCGGAGCAGCAGGAGCGGTACTGCAGTCGCTTTACCGCACCGTTGTGACGAAAAGGGAGCTGAGCCAGAAGGCAAAGCTCTCTGTCTACCGGGCCATTTTCGTTCCTACCCTCACCTATAGTCATGAAGGATGGGTCATGACCGAAAGAACGAGATCGCGGATACAAGCGGCCGAGATGGGTTTTCTCCGCAGGGTGGCTGGTGTCTCCCTTAGGGATAAGGTGAGAAGTTCAGTCATCCGGGAGGGACTCGGAGTTGAGCCGCTCCTCCTTCGTGTCGAAAGGAGCCAGTTGAGGTGGTTCGGGCACCTAGTTAGGATGCCACCTGGGCGCCTCCCTAGGGAGGTGTTCCAGGCATGTCCAGCTGGGAAGAGACCAAGGGGTAGACCTAGGACCAGGTGGAGGGATTATATCTCTTCGCTGGCCTGGGAGCGCCTTGGGATCCCCCAGTCAGAGCTGGTTGATGTCGCCAGGGAAAAGAAAGTTTGGGGCTCTGCTGGAACTGCTACCCCCGCGACCCGACCACGGATAAGCGGGAGAAGATGGATGGATGGATGGATTTGAAAAATAATCTTCCCGGGGAGCATGCCCCCAGACCCTCCTAGAGGAGGTTAGGTCCACCCCCACCTAAAACATGTTCACATGGATAGGATACTAAATATATTTGCACACTTTTATATGGTGGCCTATGTCCTTATATGTTTCTGTTTTGGTGGTTGTGCCACAACCGTGCATGTATGCACAATTCATAGGTGCGCTATAAAATAGCACTACACCCCTGCAATGTGTGTGAAAGACACTTTACAGCATGTTTTTTTAAATTGAAGTTGCGTTGGTGTTTGTGTGTTGGTTGTTGACGGCAGTGTGTGCCCCCCCTTGGTAAATGCTTGCCCCCCCATTCGATTTGTTCTGGAGCCGACCCTGAGTTAAAGCAAGCAGTCACAATGCAACAGGAAATAAATATGAAACATTTACAGCAGCAAACACGTGCAGGCTTATTCCCGCACGTGTGCTAACCACACCTTCAACTATTCTGTTACAGAATGACTCATCACATTTGAGTCACCGATGTGTGCCTGCAACAAAAGCATCTTACTGTGAATGAGACTGGTGTCTATTGTTTGTAATTTGAGAGATTTATTGCACCAGGAATTCAGCCTACAGTAGCTTTGTGTATTGGGTTTGTGGCTTGTGTGAAATGCCTTAGACATCTGATTCCAAAAGATTAGGGACACTTAAACAGTAGACACGTATATCTGAGTGAATTGAATCATCAATATAAATTGCATCTTCCTGCAGCCATTAAAATATGCAGGAGATTGTAGAGAAGCACCTTGGAGTGTTACTGCGTCACTTTCAATATGATACATCCCGTCCTGCATCATATCTGCAAGTAATTTAGTTTGTATTGGTGTTAGTGGGTGTGGTGTGAAAAGAGGGTTGCCTTCTTACGTTTACCTTAGTTGACCCCTTCAGATATGTGCTGCTTTGCAAAATGAAAAAAACACCCATCTTTAGTGCAGCTGCCACAGGGAGATAGATAAAGGTCTATTTAGGGAACGTTCAGAGGAGTATCTAAATCAAGTTTGAAAGCATTCATGTCCCAGATGAATTAAGCACACTATATATGTCAGAGAGAAAATCACATATAATAACAATACATCTTTATTTATATAGCACTTGTCACACACCAGCTGCAGCTTAAAGTCCTTCAACAACATGGCACACATCACATATTAAAACAGAAAACTGAAGTTCACTTCAGGTCAAACGTTAAATCCTTTTTGCACACATAGAAGCATAATATAACACTTTAAGGAACACAAGGAGGTAAAAGGTATGATAATAAAAAAGAACAATAAAATAAGTAATGATATCTCACGGGATAACCCTCAGTAAAATAAAGAAAGACATAACACAAAAGGAATAAATTCAATAAAATATTAAAACCTATAAAATAAATAAAACAGTAAGAAAAAAAGAAGAAAAATGAAGATTAAATGACAAATTAAAAGGGGATAAAACTATAAAATAAATAATATCAATAGAAATCTATAAAACCTATCAGATAAATAAATAAAGTAATATAAAAAGGACTAAATAATACGAATAATAAAGATTAAAAGGGGATTTCGCTAATTAAAAACTAAATCTGACTTTCGCTGTCGTTTAAAAATGTCCACTGACTATAGGATTCATGGCCCATTATCACTAAAATAATGTCTGTATTTGTTTGTGGGAATTAAAGGATGTAACTTCCTCTTATCAAGAGAGCAGTTGATCACAATTGCCTGAGTTTTGAATAACTGCTTGTTATTGTTTCACGAAATATTGAGGAGGAGGGGAGTTTATCGGTTGCTGTTGCAAGTCATTCATTCACAGTATGTTCAGAGCTGAAGCTGTGTTTGTTTTAAAACTTAGTCAAACATGTTCAGCCATCTGCCAAGGGTGTGGCTTGTCACCTCTCCTGTCCATGGACAGGATATTAAGGCAGCGTCTAAAGTATAGATGTGTTTGATGTGGTCGGGAGGAGCTCTTTAATGTATGGCACTGTATGTTTGTGGTCCCATGAAGAAACCAGCTGAAGGGGGAGAGGCAAACACATTGAGGAGTTTATTTGTATTGGTACAAAATGATCACATAGTGTAGCACAATGGAAATAAGCCCCTGAGCTTTATGTTTTCTTTAGACTAATCTTTCAAAATTCAGGTTTTTTCTAAAGGGAGTTCTCTGTGCAGGTTGAATGTCAGGCTGTGTAACACGCTCATTAATTTAATCAGTAAAGTCAACACAAAGGGGATTATTGATTTAGATTTGGCAATAGACCATGGAGATGAACAATTTATCATTAAGTCTAATCCTGTGGAAACCATGTGTCTCCATGACAGCAACTTTTCACTGACTAAGAAACAGATACATTTTGTTTGTTTTTAGCTTTGAGGCGATTCATTTTTTCCACAACAATCAACTGGTCTTTATCATTCATTTTAAGTTAGGGTATTTTCCTCAGCCCATAAAAAGGACAAATAATCCTTAAAAATCTTAAAATGTGCTGATACATGATTTCCATCTGAAAGTGATAATGGAAGACCATTGATCTTGTAAATATTTGTTTGACGAAATGATTTAAGCCCCACCAGTTGTTCACTGCTTCAACTCCATCGCATTGGTCTTCATCAGCAGGGAGGTTGTTTTTTTGTCTGCCTTTATCTGTCCCAATTGGCTAACCAATAGATTAACAAATTAAATGAATTGTAAACATATACAATGAATTCTTATAAGCTAAATAAATGAATATTACAAGTCCAAAAGGAAGTTGGAAGACAGATACACAGAAACACATGTTTATATGACCCTACCCCTTTATTATAACTTAAATATTGACAGTAATGTTAATTATACAGTACAGTTCAACTATTTACCTTAATGTTAATCAAATATAAATGATGTAAATCATTTATTTTAATATGCTTTAATAGTCCACTTTTCAAAGGCTACAGTGTAATTATGGCAATGAAAGTCCCAGGCTCCATCAATAATGCAACATAAAATATATGTAAGACATAAAACAAATACAAAAACATTACAAATATTGCAAGAAGATACAGAATAGAAATAAAATAGTGCAAGAGAAAGTTGAAAGACCAATGTGCAAGCAATGCAGAATATATATGTGCATGTAAAATAGAATAAGGTGAGCTAATAACAGAATGTAAAATAGTTTTTTTAATTATTTGTTAAGAATACAATCAAATAACAAACTCATTTTAACCAACAATATTCCTCAGGGCAGACATGCACTGGGCATATGCAGACTTTGTTTTATTTCTCCATGAATCATCAATGACACTTCTCAGGAACTGGTGTGGATTTCCTCTGGAGTGTGTGGGTGTGTTGAGTGGATGAATAAGCGGGTGTTTCCTGTAATTATCCTGCTGTTGTGTGATCAAACACTTATACAATATTTCCTTCATCACCAGCAGCAGCCCTGCTCTGGCCGAGGTTCAGTTTCAGTTTGAGGAATGCTGCCCCTGACTTGTTGCCCTGTAGTTTTCTGTACATGCGTACTCCTCCCCTCCCTCACAGTGTCAGCAGTGTAACTCCAGAGTTGCAGAGTCATGTTGATGCACAAATTCCTCCCCACCAGCAGCACCACCATCTCCACCGCAGTCTCTGGAAGTCAGCCCACAGCGACGCAGAACAGCAGCGACACGCACAGCTCCGCACATTCACACTTTTAATGTGAAGAGATGCACATCTGCTGGTTTCCTGACAGCGCGTGAAGCTTCAACCAGCACCCGGGAAAACCTCCTGCTGTCGCGCGGAAAACTCCCCGAAGTGACTCCCGTGTTGTTCTCATTATATGGAGTTTAACAGCTGCTAAACTGGTGCTTTTTTAGGTGAGTTAATCTGTTTTTAAAGTCGGTTACATGTGCTGTGTGGACGCGCCCTTTGTGGGAAAATCACTGTAAAATGCTAACATCGTTTTCGTGTGTGTAGGGTTTTTCCGCAGCACTCGTGGCGTTGTTGTGCTACTTCTGTGGATAACAGCAGTGTTTATGTACACGATATCCCACGCTAATATATCCGGTAGTTTATACTTTTGTTGTCGACCATTCGGTTTGTTTCCTCGGCAGTGCGCAGACTCGTAAAGAGGAATTGAAACTTCTGCTCGTTGTGTTGTGTTCATGGTTTGTCTGTCATTCATATAATGAGAGTCTAACGCTTCTGAAAAATCCTCATTGAAAACAACGCTCTAAAATGCTGAAACAACTAGTCATTTGATCTATAAGTCGATTACAGAAAATGGATACTGACATCAATGAAATTATCGATTAGTCGTTTAAAGCTTTCCCTGGTTTCAGCTAATCGCATTTGGCAATCTACTTTTCCCTCCTTTATGTCCCTGGAAATGTAATTTTGGGATGTTTTGGAAACAAAACAAGCAACAATTGAAGATTTGTTTTCAGGAAACCAGCAAGCTTCTGGCTTTTTATAGACAAACTTATTAATTAACACATTTATACAAAAATAATTGTTAGTTGCAGCCCTAGAAGGATGCAATTACGGCTGGCACTAGTATTTTAAAATCCATAAATGTTATGAATATTTCCTTGATACATTTATTGTTTGGTCTTTTAACAAATACAAAAAGTAAATATAAATTCCAATAGAGCCATATTGCGACATAATGGTTTGTCCGACCACCAATCCGAAACACAAACAGATTCAAATGAGTATAGCCTACATTTAAGAGGATGAAAATCATATGACTACAAATAATCATAATTTCAAAAACAAGTCAGTTAAACTATAGCTAGAAATTCACTGATTATTGCTGCTCCTGGAGTAAACTTTATATCTTTGGGCTTTCAATTGACCCTATCAGTATTTAAAAAAAAATATATAGAACAATTATTTATAAATCATTGAACAATAGATTTGTGTTGCGTTGCAATTGTCAATATATCAATACATCTGGTTATTTCAGGTTAGGTCAGGTTATTTTACGTTGCAGTTTTTAGTGCTCATCCCTTAACTGAAGTTTCTTACCATCAGAGTTCTTCAGAGGAGGCTTTTTATAATTTAATTCCCAAAACACCAACTGCTATATCATTCAATATCCCTTAAATATGTTTGATCAAAAAAGCGCTTTTTTCAGAGTAAAAGCGACGTGTCATGTCATCAGAAACCTTTGACCCCATTTGAAAGATGACAAGGCAGAAGAGCTCGTATCACTTCTGTTACGAAACTGCTCAGCACTTTTTTGGAAAACATATTTTCAAAGGTTAAGTAAGAGTGTCTTCACTCCTATACAAAGTCCTGCATGTTGGACATTTAGGTCCAAGCTGACTGCACATGCTGACGTGTTCCCAAACTTCTGTGCTCTGTGGTTCTCCATCTGCCAACAGAGACTGTCTGTAAATGGTTAACTGCCTGGCTTTTTTTTCGTATTCAAATTCTGCACTAAGCCAGGCCTGTGATTTATGAATAACAATCAGCCTTGATGCCAACAACAACAACACATATTTAGTTCTGTTATAATTCCCATTTCTTCTTATTTATAATGTGCTTAAAGTGATTATTTAACCACATTCTGATATCATTTAACAAATGAATCAAAGAGGCATTTCTATAAGTGAAGCACTTATTATCTGCATGGTCTTCTTCTCACTTCCAACCAGCCATTTGATGAAATAATATAACACAACCAATCAGTATCACCTGTGGTGCGAACAGTCAAGACATTAGGTCACACACACATTGATAGTTCATATAAATAAATAAACTGCTCGAACCGACCACTGTGTTCATGCAAGCTTAAGCAATGCTTCATATGTTAGCCAGGCCCTGTGCACAGTGTTTTCGCAGTAATTCTGTTAACCCCCTTAAAGCCTGATCCGGAGAGTTGGACAGGCTGATATATCCAGGCACAATGGCCCTTTATGGAGACTGAGCTCTACCGTATTCATGTTGCTTTTAACTCTTAGGTCATTTCACTCCTGTCATGTCTCTTCTTTTTTCTTCGCTCACTGTACAGTATATTGGCATCAAGAGCTTCCTGTTGCTGCATCACTCTCCCTCCCTCCCTCACTCTCCCTCCCTGTTCTGTCTCACACTTTTGGTCATATGACTGGCAAACAGGCTGACTGTAGTTAGAGGCGAGGGTACAGAGCCGGTTGTGCAACTCTGCAAAACTGCAACCAAGAGAACAAACTAGCAAAAGCCTCCTTGTGTTTTTCTCAGTAAAACACCATATCTGATAGATGCTGGTGATACAGAAAACAATAACAAATGGTTAGTTATACAATTAAACTGTCACTTTACTGCGACTCTAAAACGGTCACTAGTAGGATTGGTGTGTTTCTCTTTCATGCTACAATTAGGTCAACTGTTGTTATTGATTATAAGAGTCTAATGCAATCTTACAGGTAGAATAACAGGGGGATTGTCTTGCTCTCCAACTCCAGAGCTGATTGGCTCGGCCTCCAGCCGTAGCAGCGAGTGAGACTCTGAGGAATGCAGATATTTTCATGTTTGCTCGATATACTCTGGGTTTGTAGTGTTTTCAAGACTTGCTCCGGACTGACTTCCAGCAAGGTACTCTTGTACAAAAATATGATCTCTTGACTTTCGACCACCAGTGTTTCTCCAGTGCGTTCTTTTTTGGTGTTTACTGAGTATTTCGAAACAATTTGCTAAGGAAAACACACTGCAAGTTGGACTTTCTACTCTGGAATTTGTTGGAAACTCTTAAAGCATTGCAATTAAATATAATAATACGTCCAAACGTATAAAGTATAAAAGAAATAGGTGTCGGAATTTGAGAACTATTTGTTTTTCTGGATCACTAGAACTGTCACAATAATTACCTTATTGATGAATGGTATGATATGGATGAGATCTGGATATTTCCTGGTGCTTGTTTGTTATAGGAATGTTCATCTAAATGTGAAGGTAAGGTGTCATTGATAAAACTTGATGACCCCCTCCCACTTCCTCTATTGGGTTCAGGTCGAACTTCCTGATTGCTAGTTTGATGCACAACGGGAAAGATATCAACCTATATTCACCTTGTTCTCGCTCCTCCTTCTTGTTACTGACAACTCTCAGATTGGTAACGGAGTGGAGCGCGGCGCTTACCTCCAAACTAACCGGCAACTACCACGAAACTCGATAGTGAGGACTCAGAGAGCCCATGTTGTTATGCTACTGGATCATTAGCCTTGTAAGCAACACTACTGGCGGCAACCATACTTTATAAATCTTATAAAGACATTTTAAAAAACAATAATTTAGGACACGACGACATTTGAAAGAAAACTCAATTTAAAATGATAATATTTATTCATTTGTTTAACAGGGACAGTGCACATTAATGAACATTTCTGTAAATGTGCCAAGAGGCTATTTTTCATCTGTAGTCCCTGGACAGATTTTAAAAGTCAACCTAAAACACATTTCATTTTAAACAAGTAAATACAATACATTTAAAACATGCAACAGACATTACTGGGATACTTAAATGAAACAATTTAAAATACAGAACATTAAAAGAATACAAATAAAACAAAACAAAAGAACATGTTAAAACACAGAAGATTGGGTCAGTGTTGGCAGAGCTGATTCCTCACTAACCATATTTTGAGTTTTGATTTAAATAAAGTGAATGTGGTCTGGTCTCTGATTGGAGATGGGATTGAGTTCTATTGCTGAGCAGCTTTAACACTAGAACCGCCAACGGGTACATTTTACCCGCAGCTGTTTTTTGATTGTATGTAACTTTTTTTCAATAACATATTAAAGTCTCCCAGTCTGTGACTTTTCCTGAAAGTGAGTTATGTAGCACCCTCTGTTGTTAGCATTTGTCAATATGAAGTCAGATTGAATAAATCGCCAAAAGAAATGCCATTTATACCTATATCCGCCAGCGGGTAATATTTACCTCATATGTCCATAGAACAGAACATTACAGATATATCTATAGATAGTTATAGATAGATAGATAGATAGATAGATAGATAGAGAGATAGAGAGATAGAGATGTGTACCTAAACAAAACACAAGTCTAACACCAAGCGTTTAAATCAGCACTCTTAGCGATATTTTATACTTCATGTTATCTGCACAAACTATATCATATGAAAAGCTGAGAGTCCGCAGATTATATTGGTATAAGTTTCATCCCTGTGCGATCAAAACTCACTGTTCTGTATGATAAATAAAAGAACATTGTACCTTGAAAATCAATAGCGGGTACATTTTACCCGTTGGCGGTTTTAGGTATACTGCGACCTCTGGCGGTTCTAGTGTTAACAGAAAATGAAGACTGACTGAAAGAACTTTTTCTGAGTGGAATAATGCAATCTCCTCTCGCTGCACTTCTTGTTACCCTATAATTACAGTTGTGCGTATGTTAATAAACTGTCTAAGAGGAGGTGAGGTAAGGCCGTTGACAATCTTGTAAAAAAGGCAATATATTTTCATTACGGAGCAATTATGTATAGGATATTTAATATTGCATTCACATAACATTGCTAATGTCCTATGTTACTTTATTATCATTACATATGAGTCAAATAACATTGTCTTAAAAGTCCTAATAAAATCTCAATTATTTCTCGGATATAAGTGTCAACAAAAGTAGTTACATGGTCTACTAATAACTCTAATCAGAAACCTTTACCAGAAATCCTACTGGTCTTTGTAATGCATTCTTTATTGACCTTCTCTTTTAAGCTTATCAACAACAACTGTAGTACAACCCTTGAGATTTAAGATAAAGTGTTTAGAAATTTTGCGTTTGCTGGTCAGCTTAGTGTCTGGCAGGAATTCATTCATACCTTGTGTTTCTTTAAATAGTGTGAATGTGTGTTCTGGATATGGCCGCTGTCTGCAGTCATTCTTCTGTGACTCAGACACTTTGGCTCTATTTGCATTCTTCTGTTTGTCCAGGATCCTTTGAAGAAAGGAAGGAAAATAGTTTGAACTGGTCTTGATTAACAAATGATCAAGTTTATTTTTCAAGAACTGTGTGGGGGAAAGCAATTGGAGTCAGCAATTGGAGTCAGCACTCAAAGAGACACGATGGAGAGCTGGAGCTTTGATGGCAAACACTGACGGTCTATTTGGAGCTTCGGCCGGAGAATTCACAAGACATGTCACAGGGCCACGAGTTGACCACATGGTTGAGATGCCGCAATCAATTCTGAAGCACCCTCCTGTAGCTCCAGGTTTTAACTAGTTCAGAGTGTAATAATCAACATTCTTCAATAGATAGACTAAACAACTGAGGACACTGAATCACATTTGTTGTCGCTTATGGCTCGGGGTCATCTACACCCCGAGAAGGATGTGTTCCAGGTGTCCCACAACAATAACTATCTCTGACAGAGAGTTGCCCGGTCTTAAACTGGCAACATCAACAATATGCTAGGGCAGCCCCTCCTTATGGGAGATAACGGCTGCTCGAGCTGCGTCAGAGGGCGAAGGAGGACATGCAGGGCAAATGATTCCCCAACAGGCTGATCTAGCTTTTTCAACTTCTGACTGTTGTGGCTCTACTGGAATTGATTATATATTTCTGGTCTATCAAACAAAATGAACATAACCTGTCAAGTGAGCATGTTAAAAGTGCCGTACAATATCAAATCTGAAGAGGTGACATTTGGTCAGAATACAGCTTGTAAGGAAAGCCTTTCTTACCGTATATCTTATGTTATCTTTAGGCAAGGCAAGGCAAGTTTATTTATATAGCACTTTTCAACACAAGGCAATTCAAAGTGCTTTACAAAAAATGAAAGAGATTAAGAAAATGGCATTTAAAATCAGTCATTAAAAAGAAAAGCTAATAAAATAAACATTAAAAGAAAAAATACATGGATAAAAGTTACAGTGCAGTCTAAGATATGAATAGTTCAATTAAAAGCAGCGACAAAAAGAAAAGTCTTCAGCCTGGATTTAAAAGTAGTCAGAGTTGCAGCGGACCTGCAGGTTTCTGGGAGTTTGTTCCAGATATTTGGAGCATAATAACTGAACGCTGCTTTACCGTGTTTAGTTCTGACTCTGGGGACAGAAAGCTGACCAGTCCCTGAAGACCTGAGAGATCTGGATGGTTCATAATTTAGCAGGAGGTCAGAAATGTATTTTGGGCCTAAACCATTCAGTGCTTTATAAACCAGCAGCAGTATTTTGAAATCTATTCTTTGACACACAGGAAGCCAGTGTAAAGACTTCAGAACAGGAGTGATGTGATCCACTTTCTTTAGACGTTTTATTTACTGAGAATATGTTTTATAATAAACCATGCTAAAAACAGAAGGGCCATTTCCTTGCGCACAAAGCTGAATCTTTCTTATCTGTTTTAGCTGCAAGGAAGTGAAACCTTGAGTTGGTGACGCTCATACACCAACACACTCACACACGAGGGGGAAACTTCTTATTGTCATTTGATTTCTGGTTGCATTAGCTTCTTCTCAGACCACTAAAAGTCTCTCAATGTTCTTAACTAACTCTGTTTTTTCTTTTTTTGCAGGATAAGCAACACAACAGAAGTTAAAGAAATCTGCCACCATACATCGGATTGTGCAGCTACACACATTTGTCAACCACTTCCCCTTTTTTCACGTGGAGCAGTACATTGCAGAGGAATCTCTGAAATGTCAGAAACGATGACTTTCAAAAGCCTGAAACCTGTAAAATCTGGATTTACAGCGATTTAACGATGATGGTTTGACTTGTGCTTTGGGAGCTCTCTGATCTTGACTCAAAGGCTCAGTCGGTCATGTTGGAGCCTGGATCTGTGGACGAGGGAGTATTATGTGGTTCACCATCAGTCTGCAAGTTTGTTTACCCGCCGTATCTGTGCAGAGAAACATTTGAGCTGAATGTATTTTATGTGGCAACAGGTTTTTTCTCTGGACTTCTACCTCTACCTGCCGGCTGTTTCCAGGATCACCAATGGATAGTACTGGTAATCCGTCCCTAATAATTGGGACATTTCTACAAACTGAATAAATTAGTGTGTTAAATTTGAGGCAAAATGGAGCAACAAATGGCATCAGCTCACTGGAGCCTTCGCAAAGGAATTTTCTTACTAGAAAGTCCAACCCCAATGGGATAAGAACAAAAAACTGTACAAGACTGTAAGACTGAGCTTATTACTCAGAAACATTGGACTACCTCTCTCCCAGAATGCATTGCCCCTTGAGGAAGAAACGTCCCACACGGGACTCTGATTTCTCGGCCATCGCCGTCCCCTCGATGCAAGGTTCAGGTTATCTTGACTACACGGTCGAGACCCACGCTTCCAGATCTCTGGAGGTCATGGAGGAATTCAGACGGCAGGAGATGCTGTGTGACCTCGTGCTGCACGTCACATACAAGGAAAGGACGGTGGACTTCAAGGTGAGACAACTAATTCATGCCATTTTATCAGATTCTTCTACGAGTTTTCTGTTCAAATTCTAAGAAGATTTGAGTAGAAACACGGTAAGATCTTCGAAGAGATCAGGTGCACATGGATCCTTCAGGTGTAATGTGATTATTTGACCCGTCTCCTTCAAAAATAATCCAAGGTACACTGTGGGGGTTGGAGAAAGAATGAAGGGTAAAATAACGCTTTCAACTGTCAATGTCATTTTAAATACATTATTACTCAGTAAAGACATTTTAATTTTGCACAAACCCTAAAATGTGACAAAGAAGACTTGTACTTTTACCTGTTTGTGAGACAGTATACTATCCATGTGTTGCATTTTGTGTAAATACTCCAGCACCTCTTAAATCTCACACTGCACTTCTATCTACTCCTATTGTAACTGATTCTTATGCAAAAGAAAAAACAACAAAGTAAAATAGGAATTTGACTGTTTGTGATTTTCTACAGATATTGGGGTAACATTGTTGTCAAGGATTCTACTGTTAGAATAGTATGGAGCCCTGACACTGACTTCATGTAGTAAGAGCTTGTCAAAAAAAATCACAAAACCAACAATAAATAGTTTTGAGGCTACTGTTTAAGCCACTGCCTGCAACATGCAGTGTAATGTCTTCACCATTTACAGTTGAATGTATTTTAGAAGTGAATGCAATGTTCCTGTTTAACCTAATAAATACATGTTCCCCAGGTTCACAGGGTGGTGCTGGCCTCCTGCAGCCCATACTTCAGAGCCATGTTCACCAGCAACTTCAAAGAGTGTCGCGCCTCGGAGGTCACTCTGCGCGATGTCTGCCCCCAGGTGGTGGGAATACTTATTGACTTTGCCTACACCTCCCACATCACAGTGGGAGAGAAGTGTGTGTTGCACATTCTTATGGCTGCTATGAGGTAAACATACAGAATCAAACGGCAGCACACAGTGTTGATTTTCTGTATTCTGATGCTCTTTTTTAGGATCAAACCCTTATTTGCATCTAAAAAACGTTTGGGAAAAATAATTATGCTGCCATTTCCTTTTTCTTTTTTTACAAGGTATCAGATGGAGGACGTGGCCAGGGCATGCTGCGATTTCCTCACTAAGCACATAGAGCCTGCTAATGTCATTGGCATCGCCCGTTTTTCTGAGGAGATCGGCTGCTTCGAAATGCAACAGCGGAGTCGAGAGTATATCAACACACACTTCAATGAGGTGAGGCGCTAATACAAAAAGTGCAAACAGACTTCTGCCACGTTGTTCTTTTGAGCCAAAGCCCCTGACAGGCATAGGGTCAGTTTTAAAGCTGTATCATTGTGTCTTCAGGTCTCACAGATGAGGATTGTTTTAACGTAAAAAGTAACATATCAGGCATTAAGCTGGGGTAGACATCCGGGCCAGCAGATTCTCATTATCACCGGCCCCACCATTGTAACCACTGGCCCAGAGCATTCCTCCAAAAAATCGACTCTAATAATGAAGAAAATGAAAAACATTTGTTGCAATAGTAATTTATGCACAAACTACATTACTACTTGTACTACAACATTTGAATCATCAGTTCTTCCTCATTTTCCTCAATTGTTCATATTTAGTTTATTACAATAATTATATTGTGGTCATTGTTAAAGAAAAAAAGGAGGGTGACATTTCAGCTATGAGTATTATTATTTGTATAATACACTTTCTGCCTTCCTTTCATTATCAGGAGTTAGAAATGTAATGGCTATGTAATAGATTAGATTAGAACATTCATTCTCCTAAAGTGCTGGGACATTTCCCTGAAGCCAATATACCTTTACATTTTCTACTCTTCACTTACTTGTCAGCATAGGTCGGCATTGATGTACAGAGCAGACAAAAGACCTTGTTTATATCATCATATTGAAGCCAACTCTATCGATCAAGCCAGTGTGGCTGAAACTTTCTCTCCCTCTTCTTCTCATTCTTTCACACACACATACGGGTATTGGGCCGAGGGCGACGCCGTACTTCTGGTATCCGCCATTTCACACGAGGTGCAAGCAGAATATTATAGTCTATTGCCTTAATCAATATCTAGTCAACTCTAAAATACCACATATATGCAATGGCATGATAATATTATTGTGACAAGTGGGGTATTCACCTGGTGTTTCCAGAAGATAGACGTAGATGCAGCCAAAATCGACGAAGGCCACTTTCGAGGGTCGTTTTATCCATACATCTGCAGGCAGTCTGTAAGGGCAATCGGACAACCCACACAGCTCTAGTTTACGCTGGTAACGACCTAGAGCACACCCCTCAAGTCCAGAGATCTAATCCGAAGACATGCAGCGATTTCTTCGGTCGTTAATTCAGAAAAAAAACCTAGTGCGCTCTGCCTGGCTACGTTAGCTAGCTGTTTATATTTGCACCTCCAGGATATTTGCACCTCCAGGAAAATGGCGTATTTATATATATATATATATATGGCGCGCGTTGCATTGTGGGTAGCTCGTGACGTCACTGTGTGTGAAAGAATACTCCCTGTCACTCTCCGTTAACTCCTCCGGTAACTTTCTTTTATTTGAAGATTGTTTTTTGCCCGGCGTTTGGCCGGTTACCGGTGGTATTAATAACATTTTGGCAAATGGTTAGGTTGTGCGAAAGTCTGTAGTGAAGGCTCCGCAGCAAACAGCTGTTTGCTTTTTACAGCAACCGTCTCACGAAACGCTATGTTGTAGCGTTAAGAAACGAAACAATTTAACAAAATTGCTCGTCAAAATACCAATACCACAGTGACAATGTGATTTTATGTCTTACTGTTTAATTATTATTTTTTTTAAACCAATATTTTTAGTGGCCCAAGCGGGCAAGTGGAAAGTACGTTATGCTGGCCCGGGGGGTCTAAATAGCGCTTCCGGGCCAGCGGGCCATTTATAATGTCTAGCCCTGTATTAAGTCACCAAAGAAGCTTTAGAGATTTACAGATTATATTCAGTTTTTTGCACAAAGTTAATTAGTCACGCCATAGCATCGGCACATCTCATTGGTTGCTACTCTGCTTTATATGTTGCTGACCTCTTGTGTTTTGATAACTGTGGGAACAGTGCAGTCCCCAGTTGTCAGGGTCAGGTAATCGGTTGCATCACAGTACTTCATGCTTACTTTTTGCCAGAACATTGCAATTTGTTTCCCTTTCCCAGGCACCTTTTTTGAAATCTTTCTATGTGAATGCTACATCTGTGTCTTCTACGCCTACCTACCAGCTCACATTCATTCTGGAATTATACTTTGCATAATAAAATAAGATTCAGTAGTCAAATTCCTTCATGTGACCGTACTCTTGTGTCCTAGGTGACGAAAGAAGACGAGTTCTTCAGCCTCTCTCACTGCCAGCTGCTGGAGCTCATCAGCCAGGACAGCCTCAAGGTGCTCTGCGAGTCCGAGGTGTGTTGCTTTAAAATAACTTATTGAAACACTGGCAGAAATCTAAGATAATATTGCAGTCATTGTGTCGTTCTGCTCTTATTTCAACTCTTATCTTGGTTTTTTTCTCTTTTATTTTTTCTATTGGTTTTTTAATTGCTTTGGTAAAGGCATCATTTAGCTCCAATTGAGCAAAATGTGTTTTTTTCCCAAACTTGTTTGTTTCAAAATGTATAAGAATAAGAATTTTGCTTTGGTGTAAATGGTGCATGCATAGACAAACAAAGTAGCACATGTATATACACAAAATATAAATGCACAAAAATCTAACTAAAGTTAAAATATTACAAATACTATAAAGTGGAGAGGTAGCGTTGAACAGAAATCTGTGTCCAGATTTGCTCACATGTGGAGTCATGTAATCATGTATGTAATTAAAGGTGGGGTAGGTAAGTTTCAGAAACCGGCTCGAGTGCACTAACATTTGAAAGTACACAGCCGAAAAGAATCCGCCCCTTTCTTCAGACTTCCTTACAGAGCACCTCCTCTAACACACATGAACGCGCAATGCACGCCCAATTACGGCACGCCCAATGAGGGCACGAGATACATTTGTGTACGAGATGGAAGGCTGACAGACAGGGCGGCAATCCAATCCGTTTAGCCGGGCGCTAAACGGATTTGATTTTGGAGGAACCAGCTCGAGTGCGCTAGAATTTGAAAATACACAGCCGGAAAAAATCTGCCACTTCCTTACAGAGCCCCTCCTCCAACACACACGAACGTGCACATGAGGGCACGAGATAAGTTTGTGCACAGATGGAAGGCTGACAGGCAGTTAGGCCATCCAGTTATTTTAGCCGGGCCGGCTCAGATGATTGGTCATGCTTTTTACAGTACTACGGCTTCCACAGATGACATTTTTTTATGGATTTTTTGTCAAAGCACTTAAGATATTCATTGCTATCGGGATGTTAAGAGCATTCCATGGAATATAACAAAAAGTGTATCTCGAGCCGGTTTCTCAAACTTACCTACCCCACCTTTAAGTTAATTAATAAGAGAATCAGGTCTTTTTTTTAAATAGCAACATTTTTACCACAATACAGAAGAGTTAGAAGTCAAGGAAACTTACAGTTGGTGATACTGAAATTGTAAATTTGGAGTCATTATTTTTTTCTGTGTATTATCTTATTTGTCACATAACAGTCATCTAATGCTAAATAGGTTACACGTAGAACCTACTGTATGCTGTTTGTCTACGTTCTGACAAGAGTGTATCTAGATGTAAATAACAAATCACATACTGTATTAACATGACTAATTAAATCGATGCCAGGTGTATAAGGCCTGCACAGACTGGGTCCGCTGGGATATGGAGGGTCGAGCCCAGTACCTGCACGCCCTCCTGAATGCGGTCCATATCTACGCCCTGCCGCCTAAGTTCCTAAAGAACCAGCTCATGTCCTGCCCCATCCTCAGCAAGGTAAACTACAGCCTTATGTTAGGTCTGGATGGTTATGGAAATGAACATATAAATTAGATGTGTGCTTATAAAGATTGACTTCTGTCCTTTTATTAATATTTATTTCTGTAAATCATTAAGTTACCCACTAATTTCTGCCCTTTTTTTATATCTCCAGGCCAATTCCTGTAAGGACTTCCTGTCTAAAATCTTTCAGGATATGACATTGAGGAAGCTACCTCCTGGCCCTAATCGCGGCACTCAGCTCATCTATGTGGCCGGAGGGTAATTATGAGGAATATTGTCCTCCACATCTTAACTTTGGTTACACTCTTATTGGAAGACACTATTTTAGACCATAACGATCAATATAGACATATGTCTTATATTGACTAATGAACATTCTTGCTAGGCCTTATCTAATGTGTCAGACTGGGGGAGACTAAAACAGTTATTAAGATGTTTTTATTTTTTAATGTGTGTGTTTTGACTGACATGATTGATTTAGTCACTGGCCTTTCCTTGTGGGTTTTTCTCTCATGTGTACTTACATCTATAATCAGATACATTTGATATGAACCATTTCCTCTCTGTTCAGATACCAGCAGCATTCACTGGCCTCCATGGAGGCTTATGATCCGCGGAGGAATGTGTGGCTAAGGCTGGCTGACATGGGGTCTCCCTGCAGTGGTCTGGGGGCCTGTGCGCTGTTCGGCCTGCTCTACACTGTAGGTTGCACCAGTAGTTTCACACTACCAAAGAAACATTATTAAAACATTGCAGAGACTTTTACTTTCTGAATGACACTCAAAAACATGATTATGCGGATACATAATGAAATGTGAAATATAAAACTGGGAAGCTTAAGTTCATATCTTTGCAACTTTCATGCCACTTTTAACAGTTGCCTTGTGGTGAAAGGTGCTATAATAATAAACCTGCCTTGCCTTATATATGTAATTGTTCGGGAAATATTTTCCTAGCCCCATACCTTTGATCCAGTTTCACTGAACACAGGCCTGCAACCTTGGGTGCTGCACTCTCAGTGTTTTGTCTCCTTATTCCTGCCTGTTGGCGCCAGCTGGTACAGGTGTTATGGTTTTATCTTGTTATGTACAATGTTGATTATTCTCTCAGAACCAGCTAAATACATAGGTCTGGGGTAGAGATCTTCAGAATTTGTTTGGCAACTGCTGTGTCACCTCGTGGCTGCAGCACCTGTCTTGTCAGTTCTCCGGCCGTTAACTCCATAATACACCATCAGTGTTTGGCATCAAAGTTCCAGCTTTGAGTTCCATTGCTTCAGAAGTTTCCATCACAGTAATATCTAAGACTGAAATTAGTTGACCCGCTTTATTTTTCTTGCTTTTCTTCCTTCTCCTGTCAGACCTAAATGGACTCAAGTTTGTTGGGCACGTGTTTGTTTTGACATAATCTGTGTTCAGGTCGGAGGCAGGAACCTGTCGCTGCAGAACAACACGGAGTCCAGCGCGCTGTGCTGCTACAACCCGATGACCAACCAGTGGAGCCAGCGAGCCTCGCTCAACACCCCCAGGAACCGGGTGGGGGTGGGCGTGGTGGACGGCTGCATCTATGCTCTCGGAGGCTCCCAGGCCTCCACACATCACAACACGGTGGAGAGGTGAGACGTGTGAGAGGATTCATTTATTTAACTAGGCTCTCGAGATGTAATTTGATTTTAATGACATCGTATTTACTACTATGAATGCAATGAGCATGCATTTCCTCACACATTCTTAGATTAAGTGCATTTACCTCAGTGTAAGTATGGGTAATGGCATGAGAGAGATGAAATGAATAGCTGCCATTCAACCTAAAGAGCAGTAAAAAAGTTTGCAGGTATTCCACTTAGCCTAATTAGACAACATCACAGGCTCTTTGAAAACATGCTGAGACATTTACCAGGAATGTCAATCTGGCGGGGAATGCTTTAAATCTTTGTTGCTGCCACCATCAAACAGGGAGAAGTTTTAATGCTGTTATAAATCAGTTTCAAATCACTTCAAATCAAAAAGACTCGAGACAAATTACAATCGTACTTTTAGCTTTTTTGAAATGTGCTTCAAATGTAACATCAATCCCTTGTTGTATTGAAGGGTATAGATTTCTAAAAGGTGCTGGTAACAAGAGAAATATTAGAACTCATCAGAAGCCACTTTGATGTCTTTTCATGAATAAATGCTAAATATAATGAAAGATGGTATAACTGTTGGATTGAGAACTCAATGTGAAACGCAACAAAGGAGATTAGAGCATTTATAGTAACAATGGTTGGCAGGAAGAGTCTCTGCTCTTGAGGATTCATGCTGAATGAAGCCAATCAACACGTAAGAGATTCAACAGGGAGTGATACCTCCTTGTTCAAATGTGCTTTCTTGGGATAATGTATTGTAACTTATCACTGAAATCTGCCTTGCTGCATGTAGTAATTTCAGGGTTCAGAGCACAGGGTCAGTGAGACCACGTTGACTCAAGAAGTAACTTGCATTTAGTGCTTTTTCTCAAGGGCACTTTGCCAATGCTTGAGGGTATGTGATGTAACAGCAGCCGCCCTCCTATCAGCGGTTTACAGCTGGAATACACCCAGTGCTGAGAACTGATCAAACCATTAACCAGGGAACACACACTCATTATGCAACTTGCCTCATCACGATCCCACATTATTAGGATTTTTTTCAGTACTAAAATAATTAAACAACAGTTTCTTGTCGAGAGCTGGATGAGTGTTAATATATCTGTAATATCTGCCCGTTAAATATAAAGCTACTGCTAGTAGGTGGTATACCTTTACCCAAAGTCAAAACAGCCATTTTGGCTCTGTCTAAAGGTAAAACAAAAGCCCCTGCCAGCACCTTTTTATATTTTTTAAATTTAATTTGTACTAAAAGCTCCCCTTAAAATGTCCCCTTGTGGTTTTACTGCAAGTGAAATGTATAGTCTGGCACATAAACCCCCATAAAATCATCATTTATTATTTTGCCAGTCAATTTTCATATGGATAGAATACAAAAAAGATATGCTAATCATAGGCAGTTGTTTGTCCTCCTTCCAGTTTCTATGCTAAGCTATGCTAACTGTCACCTGACTGCCTTTCACGGACAGATATAGGTGTGGCGTCAATCCTGTCTTTATCTCTTAGCACGAAATCGATTAAGACTATTGGGAAAAAATGCTCATCCTACAAGAAGATATGTTGAGAAATGTATCTTTATAGTATAAGATGAGACTAATCAGCGTGTTATCTTTCTTGTCTCCATCTGCCGGCAGTGATTTAACAACTTCTTTGGCTTCAAATAAAGCTTGTCAATAGTTGCCAAACATGGACGCCAGCTTAACCTAATCCACTTAAAGTTGACCGGCTCGTGTAGAAGGAGAACGTTGCCTTACTCAGCCACTGCACTCTGAATGATTGAACGTTTTGGAGCACTGATACGTGAATTTGAATATTTGTATTGACTCATATTTAAGAATGTTAAACATAGACTGCATTCACTCACTGCACAACTGCTGTTTGGTTTTCAGGTGGGATCCAGAGTCTAATCGCTGGTCCTTTGTTTGCCCGATGTCGGTGGCTCGTCTGGGGGCAGGAGTGGCGGCGTGTGGGGGGGTTCTGTATGTGGTGGGGGGGTACGATGGGCAGAACCGCTGGGACACTGCTGAGAAATACCAGCCCGACACCAACACCTGGCAACAACTGGCCCCCATGACGACTATACGCAGTGGACTGGGTGAGTGTCTGTGTGAGTGTGCACTGCACTCCTCTCTTTATGAGATCCAATCTGATTGGACAAATAAGATATTTTTATGAGTTGATAAATGAGCTGCATATAGGCTGGTTTGAAGATAATTAAGTGGTATATTTTTATTATTTTCATAATATACAGAGTAAGATAATCTGAAACTTTTTTGATCAATCATTTTTATAAATGTTTTATGCAAAAATGACAGAAAATGCCGTTTTTAGCCTCTCAAATATTAGGAATTCCTACTTTTCTCAGTTTTATATGATATATGTTATGATATATATTTCCGATTGACAAAACAAGACATCGCTTAGAAAATCTTGAATTGACATTTTTCACTACTTTCTGACATATAAAGCACACGATTACTCAATGTATCTAGGGATTAAAAGGCAGAACAATTGACATGATGATGTCAATTGTGATAATGACAATAATTAATTTGCTGCCCCAGTACGGAGCGGTATTGATCTTCTCAACTAACTGTAAGCAAGCAAATGAATAAGCCACCTTGCTGAAATGTCTAACTAAGTTCCCTCTCTGGTCTTTGCAGGGCTGGTGTGTCTGAACTCTCACCTCTATGCGATAGGAGGGTATGATGGGCTGAGCCAGCTGTGTTCTGTGGAGCGTTACAATATAGCCAGGAACCAATGGGAGCCCAGGGCCTCCATGCAGTACTGCCGCAGTGCCCACGGAGTCACGGTGCACCAGGGACGCATCTTTGTCCTCGGTCAGTTACAGCACCGTTCATAACACAATAAGGCTCACAATACAGTCATTTCACTGAAATAAAAAACTTGTAATGTCTCTAATATATAACACAAGACTTGCAGTTCAGATCTTTTGGATTATTGCGTACATGCATGTAGAAGCAACAATAATACAGACTTGTTAGTAATTTGATACTTCTGATTATTAAGTAGAGTGTTAGGTCAGGAGGTTCAGTGTGGCTCAATGACTAAGTGTTATTTAAGTAAATAGAGTAAAGCATGGCTCAAATGTAAAGATTCAAGATTCAAAGGTTTTATTGTCATATGCACAAAGCTACAGTGTAGAAATGGCAATGTAATTCTTCTGACCTGAGCTCCTCCAACAATGCAACATATATAATAAAATACAAAATAAAAAGTAGTGCAAAAAGACTATATACATGTCAATAGACAGTATATAAAGAGTTAATACATGAGGCGAAGGAAAATTCCAAATATCAGATTGAGATAAAAGAATAAGTAAATAAAATCAATTGAAAATCTAAGAGAAAAATGTACCTTTTTAAAAAAACGTATCAATACTCTTTTCTTATAGATAAATTGCTCCCTAAGGGGTTTATTTACAGCACCATTAAACATGTGGCTTGTGTGTCTCTGTGTGTGTCCCTCCAGGAGGCTTTAACCAGAACGGCTTCCTGTCCAGTGTTGAGTGTTACTGCCCAGACAGAAATGAATGGACGTGCGTAACCAACATGCCCGTCGGACGCAGCGGGATGGGCGTCGCTGTTACCATGGAGCCCTGTCCCGGCAGCCTGCCAGAACAAGAGGAGGATGAGGATGGAGCCTCATGATGAGTACGAAATCTGTTGAAATCTCAAGTATTGAATACAAGTGGTGCTGCTTTTCAAGAGAGAGTTAAGTGCATTCAATAAAAAAAACATTCCAATATGAAAACTACTCACACATCCCCGCTCTCATGGATCTCATTTGAATCGTCCCCATGAAGTACTGCAGATGTAGATTATTAGATTATGCAGAAACGCTGAAAAGGACGAATATTTCTACATCTGGTCGGGAAAACTCTTAGCATGACAGTGACCTCACAATGAACAAGGTGCTACAGATGTAATCATTGATAATGGTACTATTTAATTTAGTATTATTATCTCTCACCTGTTTCAATCACTTAGCGTTTTTAATGGTAAATGTACAAAGTGAATGGCCTCCAGTGTCCTGATTTTTTTTAATCCTCACTCTGTGTTGTATCACTACCTCTTCTCTGTGTCTCTGTCTATTTGAGCACTTTTCTGATTGTGTTTTCATTGTTTTGTGCCAACACAGATTCACAGAAAACTGCCATTTTTTTGTATTTTATTCATTTAATTTGTTTGTATGTGCATTCACAATATTTAATTTTGTGTTTCTGAAAATAAAGTTAATCAAATTTGTATTTCTGCACCATATATGTTCATCATTGTAACTCAAATGATCTAATCATGTTAGCAAAGTGTTTTTACTGACCTCTTGTGCTCTCACTTATTAGGAGTTCCAACATGTAACAGCACATGTGCGACCACTAGATGGTGGGATAAGTCAAAAAACAGCTGTATGCCACCACATGAAAATATTTCAGTTTTTTTTGTGTTTCAATGTAAAAGCACCCTAAAGGAACTCCAAGCTTAACAATATCAAAGCAAAACAACCTAAATCTGTCCGATCTTGACAAACAGAAACATTAAAATACATAGAATGATTAATAATAATTGATAATTGTCCATGTTTTGTTGAGACAGAACGATTACTCACTGCGACCTTTTATTTAAGCAGTATTGAATGAAGACAAAGGGTACTTTAGTCGCTTCAGTGTTAGTCATCAGCCGCAGACGTCACTTTGTGTGTTTACTTATCTCTCTCTGCATGGCTGCTCTCCATCTCCTCCATGGCTCACCTGCAATTATCCCAGCAGGCCGCCAAAGAAGACAGTTCTGGACCGAGCAATTATTCAAATGCATGTTGAGATTTCTGACAGAGAAGAGTGAAGTTAAAATATGCATGTTTACCTTATCGCTTTGCTGAAATAATAGGCAGGCGATTGTGGTTTGTTTGTTTGTCTCCATTTGAATGCATCTCCAATTTCAGACTCTTGTACATTGTGAGCGTTCATTATTGACACAGCGACCTGTTGGACGACGTGCAGAGATGATGAAGAAGAAGAAGAAGAAGCAGCAGAGCTCTGGTTGTGTGTTCGGGGCCCCAGAGAGTGAGAATGAGTGGAGGGCTCTTACTCACTACTTAAAGCCCCGCATAAGAGCAAGTGACTCACATGGTGAACGCATGACGCAAGCATCGCACACATGGATACACGAATACGTCCGTTCACAAACACATTTGTTCTTTAGCTGTCACACGCGCATATGTGTGTGTGTGTGTGCAAAACAAGGCAGGCTGTCTCTTATTCACAGGCTGGGGAAACAGATTTGCCTCAATGCTTTCATTGTCTCATGACGGGGGGGGGGGGGGGGGGGGGGGACTACAGAAAGAGATGAAGCACTGTACAGCGGAGAGGTTTGCCTTCCATGGAGAATCAGTGGAGGGAAATTAGTTCACACACAGATGCTGTTGTATAAGTCCATATTCTTCATGCTCACTGCACTAATGCCGAGCAGTTGCACCTCCCCAAGAGGAATAGTAGAGAAGAGGCAAGGCTGAGAAAGACTGATCCCTTCTATGAAAACTGTACATTTTGCTTTATTATTTATCATGTGAACAAAGTTCTGACTTTGGTGCTTAGTGTTGGACACTTACACCAGCAGAATGTTGGCCTGAGAAGTGCAACAGAAGAATGCTTAATTTGTTTGGATGTTACATTAACACAGGAAGTGATCAAATCTAAAAGAGCTGATCTGATATAGAGCTTGCAACTACGCAGCATGCTAAAATATGCGTGTAGGGATTAAAAAGTATAGGAGCTTAGAAATACTAAAAGTGACGTATGGAGTGAATTTTAAAACTGTCTGGCCTTTTTCAAGTCTTTGCAGAGTAAAGGAATCCTAAAGAGGCAGTCTGAGTATTACAATAAGTGTCATATGTCGGTTATGGCTTATTCTGCCTTATTCAGATCTGCAGGCACGCAGGAGGTAGAGTCCAGCCTCTATAGGATCAGAAGAGGTGGGGGGGGCTTTAACGCCAGTGGGCCTATAGCTGGGTTTGTGTAGGTGTGACCTTGGAAGTGATGACCTCATCAACATCCCTGCCTGCAAAACTAATCTGTTACATTCTGAAGGATGCTCCGACGATGGAGCCACCCATGAAGGTGACATTGGTGAGAGGGGCTGGTGGCGTGGCATCCCCCCCCCCCCCCCCCCCCAACGAGACACGCACAAACATATTCAAATAAGGAAGCATGTGAGTACTGTATGTGAATGCCAATACTGTACCTGACTTAGTCACAGAAGAAAGGGGAAGCACTGTAACTACATGAAACTGTATGTAAACCTGTAGAAAGGGTTTACATCAGCTGATCGCCCAGATGCATGCAGCAGGTGTTGCAGCATGATGGATGTTAAAAGGTCAGACAGCTTACCCTAAATAATGCCAGATTTTTGCTCTGTGACGAGCAAATTAAACACATTTTCTACCTTTATTTTCCAGGAAATGTTGAAGTTAACTTTCTCATTCTTACGCAGCACCCAGCAGGTCCGGGTTACACGCATTGCTCAAGAGTTTATTCACCCTCAGAGCTCTTGCTGCCCTGGATTAAGTGTTGCTAACATGTATGACGGTGTCAATTTATAGCGTGTGCACAACTATCTCTGCCCTCCTGTCTGTCAACAGATGCCCTTGAGCAAGGCACGTCCAGCTGACGCAGTGGAGCTGATCAGTGAAGAGCAGCAGAAGACAGACGGTTGAATGTTTGTGAGCAAAATGAGTGGGAAGCAGAGCATATGTGCTCAGCAACAGTACCGCTGCGTACATTTTAGAAGCAGTTGTACACATTAATTAACACCACAGGAGAAACAGTTATTTTACATTGACTTATTTTATTACACTGATCCTGATATATTCATTTGATTTGTTCTGCAAGCTTATATCATAAATTAAAAAATGAAGTTTAATTTGAATATGGGACCTTTAAGGCTCGCACACGGATGCACATGCACGAGCTCACACGCACACATATGCACGCTTAGAACTGTGTATGCCCCGCTCTTGAGCTCCACATAAGCCACTTTTTGCGTGAATAAGGTAAAAGTATCTACATTCATATTATCTGCAGGAGGTAAAGAAGTAGTCTATGAAGTTGACTTGTATAAAACCATGAACATTTAATTATTCTCTGCATAAGTATGTACTTTCAAAAGTCATATTTGCGTAATCTGTTTACTATAACGCAAACACTTATTTTATAAAATGTCTTCACATGTTTCTAGGGATGTGTCTGTGGCTCTCACTAGTGAGTTCATATTGACCATTACTTTTAAAGACTATCTAGCATCATTATGAAATTCCTCTAACATTTCTGCAGTGACATAAAGTTTTAAGATCTTTTCATGATATAGTTATTATAATTATATGCAGGGTTGTTACTGCTGTTGTTTTGTATTAGTGATCGGAGCCTGCCTGTTGTGAGCATGTAGTGCAGCCGACTGGTCTGTGTGTTCACTTCAACTGTGTTTCTCTCAGACTCGGAGGAAAGCATGAGTGGAAGGTTTCAAGCTCCCCTTTCGCTGAATTGATTCTACTATGGGTCCTCCAGAAACACGGCGCAGACACACGGGTGAATTGAGCTTTAATGTGTGCCTCATGTTCACCCTTCCTTACACTTTAAACAAGCTAGGTTTAAAGAATATAAGTTTAAAATGTTGTGATATAATTTTCGATGCTGCTAAAACGTATGCATTTGCAAGTTAACGCTGCGATGCCGGAAATGCACGTTTCCAGCTCCCCCCTGTACCCAAAGATGGTATATCCCACAATTTATTCCAGGGAAAGACTGACAGTTTTTTGGGTCATGAAGCAGCTGTTCAAGTCAGTGGTTCGCCCTCCCTCCGCAAGAATAAGGAATTAGTACATTTCAAATTAGATAACGACAAACGTTGGTGCAAGAAGAGAAAAAGTATGACATTTTGTCCGTGGCACAAAATAAAGCATTTAAAAATGACAAAAAAACATTTTATATTGATAATAAAAACCTGAAATGGTCACAGTTAAAATGTTAACACAGTAATATGAACAATGTGTTGTGTGTGTGTTTTTTATATATATTGTTTGCTGTTTAGATAGTACAGCTGAGTAAATAAATAGAGCAAATTCCTTAATAAATTCTTGTGATATTAAAGATTGAGAGCTTAGAGCTCCCTTAAACACACACACAAATACACGCACACACTCTGGCAGACCTACTATAAAAAGTGGAGTTAAACAATGGTGCAATTACATTTGACCCCTCTACAATAAATACAGTCAACTTTAGGTTGTGCCTCGGCTATCCATTGGCTTTCTATAGGTTTAAATTAGTTGTCATTCTGGCCCTTTGATAAAGGTAGACAATCCAAAGATCTGACTGGACTTAGCTACTCAACCTGGTTAGTATAAATGTCATGATCAATATATCTCAGAGTGCCTTTTAGATGTGTGCATAGTTTCACATTTAGAAGGCATCCGTTTGGGCATTTTACCTCAATACTTTATGTGTTATAAGAAAATGTGTGTCTATGTCTACAGTATGTGTGACTAACTTTGTGTATAGTGCTACATTCGTGATTGTTTTTGTGCATGTGTGTGCACATGCGACGTGGGTCAAGCCCCTTAGAAACAGCAGCAGAGGTCCTCTGCTTTTAAGTGGATTAAAACTCCAGCACAATCCCCAGGGCCAGCAGGCATTGGACAGACTGGGTGTAGTTTAGATGAGGATTTAAGACTGATTATCTCTCATGCTGCCTTTGTTTTTCGCTGCTACTGTTGGATAATACTGTACAGTAAATGGAACATTTCTATGCCGTACATATTACTAGTGTGACTGGTATTTGTTGTGTAAATGAGCATGGTTGACGTTTCAGCATGTGAGACTTTTTTTCCTGGGTATACACTCAGCTCCACTTTGAACGTCACCAACTTTGTCGTGCTGCTGCAGTAGAAAGATTCCTTAGCTCTGAATGTATACCTGCTGCAGTGTTTCTGTTTAGTCTGCCGTCATGCAGCCTGTCTTATCTGCGCTATAATATATGAGCTCCTGTTATGGTTTCCCTGGACCCACTGTGTCACTCCCATACTTCTTGCAACGTGTCAGCACCAATTAACCAGGTCAATATTTCTGTGCTCCAGTTGTTGTAAGTCTGACCCTTATTCAAGTTTGCATTTTGATGTCTCATATTACACATATGCATACTGATAGTGTACTTCAGTTCAAAGCTATACGTATTAAATATTTACTCATTCTTTTTGGTTTTAAAGCCAAAAAA